GCACAGGAGTTTTGAGAGTAAGTTTTCTTTCTGACACTGCAGTGGTAGGTACATTATGCACTTGTCAAGACCCACAGAACTATATAAAACAGTAAACTAACTTAAATGTAAACTGTAGAATTCAGCTAATATTGATATATTAATCATGATAAATGCATCACACTAATGCAGGATATCGTGTGTGTGTGTGTGTGTGTGTGTGTGTGTGTGTCAGTCGTGGGGCTTGAACTCTGGGCCTGGGTGCTGTCCCTGAGTTCTTCAGCATTAGGCAAGCACTCTACCACTTGACCCACTGTCCCACTTCCAGTTTTCTGGTGGTTAACTGGAGACAAGTGTCTCACAGACGTTCCCGCTCCAGCTGGCTCTGAACTGTGATCCTCCGATCTCAGCCTCCTGAGTAGCTACGGTTACAAGCCTGAGCCACCAACGCTCAGCCAAGATGTCAATTTAAAAGGGGGAGGTTGTACAAGGGCAGGTAATAACAAGTATATAGAATGACTGAACTGTCTGGACATTTTCCCCATACATCTAAAGGTAGTCATCCTATTTTTTTTAATCTAGTTCAAAGAAGTCAAGGTGAAGTGAAATTTTCTGAGAAAGTATTGTGAAAGCAGTTCTGAAGGATACCTAAGATTTCTAGAGTTGAAAAGGGCAGAAGGCATTTCAACAGGAGTTGAGGCATGAAAAAGATTCAAAAGGCTCATGTTACAAAGGAGCGGGAAATCACAAATGTAAGTCAATGCAAAGGCAACAGGCAGCAATCTAATTAAAGATAGGGGATCAAGCAGGACTAGAAGTTCTGAAGCAGCACTCCAATATTAAATAAATATAGACATGGGAGTCAACTTAATTTGTCCTCAATCCACAGTACATATTCACTCATTCATTCATTCACTCATTAATTCAATCAATACATATTTAGCAAACATCTATGCTGCAGGTGCTATGAAGAGAGCACTGAAGGCAACAAAAAAACAAACAAAACCTGCCAGGGATTTTCACAAAATAGCAAAGAAACTTGTGGCTGGAATGGAATAAAGAGGAAGGCAGAAGGTGAGACAGAGGAGATTAACAGAGGCCAGTGTTTGTTAGGCACTGAGTCTAGAATGAATAATAGCTTTGGCATTTTCCTGAGCAATTGAGAGCCATTGGAGTATTTTGAATAGTGGAGTAATTTGAGTGACAATTGGGATAGGGTCCTTTCATGTGTTCTATTGAGAGTGGCCAGAACAAGAGTAGTTACAGAGAAACCCTTGAAGAACCCATTGCCATAATTGACGTAAGACCCAAAGGGGACTTGGATATCATGGGTTTATTAATACAAGTGGTTAGAAGTATACTTTGGACTCTGAAGGGATTTGCTGTTGCATTTGATGTCTGAGAGAGTATCAAATCGAGTTAGTTACTGTTTATAAGCACACATTAATTTTACAAATGGATTTTATTGTGATATTTCATTGTGCTATGTATACCTGTAATGTAATAAACTTTGATAATATTTACTACTCCAGTACTACTTCTTCCCCTCACTCCTACCCTGATTCCCCCATAGAAAGTCTTGTATGCTTATGACCTATCCTCTTCTTCCTCCTACTCCTCTTCATATCATTTCTTAGATTCTTCCTATGAGTAGATACATGTGATTTTTGGCTTTTTGAACTTGGATTATTTTGCTCAACACCAAATGACTCAGTTTAAAATGGGCTGAGTAACTAACTTGAAGTTGTCTGTGGCAGAGAGGGAAGCATATGGGAGAGAAGGCTCATAAGTCAGATTGAGAGTAAGGCAACCAGTTACGCAGACTGTCACAGTATGTACAAGTTGTAAGATTAAGCACCTATTTATTTGTTGAACCTATACTGAAATCAAATACTTATTTATTTTTTTGTCACTCGTATGGGCTGAACTCTGGGCCTGGGTGTTGTTCCTCAGCTCTTTAGCTCAAGGCTAGCACCCTACCACATGAGCCACAGTACCATTTTGAGCTTTTTTCTGCTTATGTGGTGCTGAGGAATCGAACCTAGGGCATCATGCATGCGAGGCAAACACTCTACCACTGAGCCAACATCCCAGCCCCGAAATTAACTACTTTTAAGTCAACAAAAATAAGGTATCTCTCTGCTTGGAAGGAATTAACAATTCAAAATGGAACCAAATGTAAGTAAATAATTCTGGTAAATAATGCATTAGAGTAGAGGTGCTCAACATTTTTGTGCATGCTACATAACCAATGCATGATGAAACAGTAAGTGTTCACTCAGCTCTGTAAAAGCACAAAAGAAATTCTCACAAAGGTTCATAAAGCCATTCACAAAGATGTGCACCACAGTATGACAGCAATGAGGTAGTAGTAACCTAGATGCACCAACACTAGGGATATGTATTAATGAAACATTGAATACTTAGCATCAAAGTAGGTATGCGTAAGTAATATGGGATTATCTCAGAAGCTGAGTGTTGAATGTAAACAGAGGGAAACAGATTTGATAGTGTCTTTATAAGTTGAAAAGACACTGAAAACACTACCTGTCTTAAATTATTAATAATCTTTGTCAAACCTATAAAAAAAAACTCTAGAAGAATGAGAACGGGGGTGTGGAATATGACGGGAAATAACAAGAGCAAAAATTATATGAAAAAAGAGGGGTCCTGTGTGGAATAACAGTAACAAAATGTGTTGAAAATTGAGGAGAAAAGTTATTTGTACCTGAAGAAAAATAACTTCAGACTAGGGATCTAGCTAATAAACTTAAGAGAGGAAGGATATTTCCAGGGCATGTAAAGCATTTGCAGGAACACACAGCATAGAATTGCATCCTAGGAAAATAACTGGTGTGCAGAGTTGACATATTTGAAAGCGCTTATATGTCGAGTTTTACACGTGGAGGTATAATGTCTAATATATTCCCCTATATTCATTGAATTGAAAGAGACTCTACTCTCATGCAGCTGACATGAGATTCTTTCATCTGTGTTGAGTTCTACACATACTTTGTCTCTTTCAAAGATCCTAGTCCAATGAGTCATTGCTATTTACCTCTGCCTTAAGGGTTGTGACCCTTGATCATCTGTTTTAAATCTGGAGTTCCACCAGGAGAACAACATTGTAAGCCTGAAAGTAGGGTAGGAAGCCAAATGGAGGTCCAACATAGCTTTCATTCTGGAACATTTGCCTGGGGTAATTTCCTTGCTGCCACCAACAATGTGAGGGTAGATAATTGTCACCTGCCACATACCAGTTGGGATCATTTCCATCTCTGTGCCCCTCCCCCACACATCCACTTTGTCATATCCCAATATCATAGCTGAACCTAGCTGTTATCACAGTTGGAATTACTTTGCTTTGTCTAATAATTTGATATCTATTTGCTCTTCTAGGTTTCAAGATTAATGCTGGCAAATCTGTTTTGATTTGGGAGTGGTTTACTGGGGATTAAATTTAGGCTCACCAATACATCCCTCATTTGTTCCATTTTTGTTTCAGAGAGTCTTGCTAACTTTCTTCAGGTTCACTGTAAATCTCTTCTGCTGCTTCCTTGTCCTGAGTGGTTGGAATTATAGGTAGAGGGTAGCAATGGCCAGTTTGGTAGTCGTTTTATTCCTCCCTGCTGACTTCCTAGCACAAGCACAGTGTTTGATACACAGTAGGCATTCAATGAACATCTCAGATGCTCAATTTCCAGACAATGGGCAGTAGCTCTCCAGTGGCAGGGAAGACAGAGATAACAAAATTGCAGTTAGAGCAGATGCGAATGGTTCACACTTGTAATCCTAACTATTCAGGAGGCTGAGATCTGAGGACCATGGTGGGAAGATAGTTGGGATAGAAGCCAATCTTTCAAACTTAGAACAGGAGTGGCTCAAATAGTCAAATGCCAGCTATGAGCAGAGAAGTCAAACAGGTGTGGTCCTGAGTTCAAGCCCCAGGAAATAAAATAAATTAATTAATAAATAAAAGTTACAGTTGTTCTGTACAGGGAAAATGGGGACTGCTACAAAGATTCTGGTAACTCAACTGGTACAGGTCACTGTGTGCTCACTCTCTGGTACAGGGTGGGCACACAGAAAGAGCAGAGATGATCTGTAAAGAAATGAAGCACTTTCGTACTTTTAGTTTAGTTTTTTTTTAAGTCAAAAGTATGCGAGTGAATTGAGAAAAGCATAGTAGTACTGGATGTCTTGACACAATACATTACCTCTGAAAAGGCACATAATGAATCCACAGTACAGGCAAAGTGCGGGAGAATTTTACTCTGTTCTGTACCTGTCACAAGTGTGGGTCACGGTGATTGCCGCTATTACTGTGGCTAGGTGAAGATCTCCAATGCAATGTATTTTCTTCCTTGCTGCCTCCTTCACTCTACCTCTATGCAGCTGAGCTAGGCTCTAGAGGACTTACGATCAAAATAAACCCAACCATAGCCCCCTCCAGTCTTAGTCGGGTCGGGATGCGTATGGACAGATGGATGAAGCTCTTCATTGTAGGAGGCCATTTGTTTCGTAAGATCCCGCTGGCGCCTCCACCAGAAGGTCTCTAGCTCGCCACACGAGGCCGCGCGACCAGTCACCGCCCTTCGCGCCTTCCCGCTCTCCGTCGGGCTCGCGCACGTCCAGCCCGCGCGGCCTTACGTCGGACCCCAAAGCCGGTTCTCATCACGGCGCTTGCGCGAGTTCTCTAGCCTATAAGGAAAGAAGGCGGGGCCGAGGGGGCTGAGTCCGCGGGAGGAGGGGCGGCGCCGGTCACGTGACCCGGTTTCACTGTTTACACGAGGAGCGGCCCCAGCCTTCGGCCTCAGTCAGGCGCTCGGCTCCGTTTCGGCTTCACTTCCGGTGAGGGGCCGCCTTCGAGCGGGC